AGGAAATGTCTGTGGTACTTGGTGCAAAAAATAAGAGACATGCAAACATGAGAAATAAGAACAATAACATATTCATATTTTACACAGCACAGGCCAAACGTTTGGACACACTATTTAAATTGGGAAATTCTCACTGAAGGCACATGTGGAGTTATGTACTTAACCAAAAAAAGGGGGAAACAAATGAAAACAGGTTTTTTATTCCATTTTCTTCAAAATAGCCACTCTTTACACTGATTCCTGCTTTACACACTCTTGGCATTCTCTTGATGAGCATCAAGAGGTAGTCACCTGAAATGGTTTTCCAACAGTCTTGAAGGGGTTCCCAGACGTGTTTAGCACTTGTTGGCCCCTTCGTAAATGGTCATGGTCGTGAAAATAAAGAAAACACATTAAATGAGAAGATGTGTCCAAACGTTTGGCCTGTATCCTATTATATATTATTAGGCAATAATTAGAGAAAATGGCTTTAACATTCTAAAATATTCAAACATTCTATAGTTTAACCAAAATTATATCTATTTATTGTTCAATAACTCAAAAAAGTTCGACAGTAATCAGTTTTATTTAAAAAATATGCTATTTCGTATAAACATTGTAAAATATTCTGTATACATTGATATAATGCTGCAAAAGGTGCTAGATTACTCAAAAGTGTCTGAAATTTTTTTTATTTTGGGAAATTTTTGTTTTTTATCTAAACCGGGCCAGGATCCATATCATTTTCTGTGATTTTCTCCGTTAAAATAAAAATTTGAAAATTGTAAAATTAAAACAAGACTTTTGTTATATGCCACAATATTAACCAGGGAGTTAATTTTCAAGTTTTAAACTATTCAATTCAATTCAAGTTTATTTATATAGCGCCAAATCATGACAAGAGTCATCTCAAGGCACTTCACACAGTAAACATTCCAATACAGGTCAGGTCATTACGCCAACCAGGAAAATGTTTCCTATAGAAGGAACCCAGCAAATTGCATCATCAGTGACTTTACTGCAATCCTCATACTAAGCAAGCATTTAGCGACAGTGGAGAGGAAAACTCCCTTTTAACAGGAAGAAACCTCCAGAGGATCCTGGCTCAGTATAAGCAGCCATCCTCCACCACTCACTGGGGATCAAGAAGACAGAGCAGACACACACACACGCACACACACACACACACACACACACACACACACACACACACACACACACACACACACACACACACACACACACACACACACGCGTGCACACACACGCGTGCACACACACACACACACCAAGTAATGTTTCAATGGTTACATTGTGATTTCTTAGTAAATATTCTATTTGGCGAGAGATAAACTTTATTGTATTTATCCAAGTGAATCTATGATTAAACGGGTAAACTAGTAGTAGCACATTCAATGTCAAAGAAAGTAAAATGTTATTATCAGGAGAGGGAGAAAGTTTAAGTGGTTAGCAACAGTGATCAAGCCGATGGCCTCCTCCATGCGGTCACCACTATTTGAATGAATGCCAAATAAAGGGTTAAACAGAATCCAAGTTCTGAGACAGGCGATGAAAACATGTTCATGTTGTTCACTCACTGACGATTTACCAATAAAACTCACTGATTCTGCTGTATCAATTCTTTACCATATTTCCTATAATGCAGGTTTCCAGCATTAGTTACCATAGCAACCACCTTGCAAGAGGCTAACCTGCTTTATGACGCTCAGATCATTAAACATTAATTAAAGTCCTCTCCCTACGCTGCAAATGTATCTTTTTTATTATTATTATCATTAATTTTCTCAGAAAACAGCAGAAGCGAATATTAAGGATGAACTGGGGCGCGACAGAAAAGTAAAACACCAAAAATAACCTTAATTAACAACGATCAGGTAAAAAGGTCCAGTTGAATCAATCAGCAAATGATAGCCGACTGAACACAGATGTGAGGCAATAATAAACCGACCAAATGAAATGTCACACAACAGAAACACAAAACGACGACAATAGTCTGCATTTCCTGTTTTCATTTACTTCAGTTGTGTATAACCCTGCATGCAAGCTAAAAGTCTGACTTAAATTTGAAGCTAAATTTAGTGATTGTACTTATTTAGACGTGCTAAATGCAATTTCTTTAGCACAGCTGTAGACTCTGACCGCCCACTTTGTGAAAAGCGAATTGCTTGTCAGAGTTTAAGGAGAAGCATTTCCTACTCTGTACATATATATAAATAAACTGGTCGATGCGGACACCTCTCACAGTTTGTTTAGTCGTAAATACAGGAGGAAAGCGGAGCGCCGCAGCAATCACAAACCTGTTATACCGCCGACACGAACCTAAATCTAAAGAGGGATTTTTGCTGACGTTGAAATGTGGCAGAAATTACATCTCACTCTAGGATTTATAGGAATACATATAGAGGAAGAAAGGGGATGAAAAGCAAAGTTAAGTATGAAAACAGTACATTTTCATCCTGACAGATGATGGCTTCCTGAAGTTTCTCCTTCAGTTAACAAACAGCAGCTGTTCAGAGAGAATTAAACTTTTTTATGCTAGCGCTAGACTGATGTCTAATTTAATAAGGCCTGTTTCTTGTTGCACTTGGAGTAGTTTTAGGAATAAAGCTCAACCGAATGGATGGGTCACACATCACTGGCATTACTGTGCTGCGACTCTAAAACACAAATTGGATTACCTGTGCACCCACGCACATCACCTCAATTGGACAGGCGCAAGCATGAAGGCAACGCAGACATAAAGAGGTACACGTATGCTTGTGTATTCTATGAGGCTAATGCAAACGCTGTGAAAAGTGTGAATGCATCAGTTTTTATTCTAGACGCAACAATAAAAGGACTCCACACATGCACACTCACACACACACACACACACACGTCACACACACATGCAATTTTTGTGCTGTGACAGTAAATGCCACATTATTGTGATGTACAGCGGAAGACCACATCACATAAAGGTCGGCGTGATGGAATCTCTCAGTGAAGCTGCCGGCCTTGACACGTAAAATCGGATCCTAAACCCGTTTATGGCGCCGTGAAGCCAGACAGCGTCCCGCTTTTCCTGTAAACAAAGCACTGGAACCTCGTGAGTTATGAGCAAAGCGGCCAATAAATCTGAATAATCATTAGTCTAAACAATCCATTTCTGAATTCACAGCTTTTTGAAGATGCCTTTGGTAGCGGAGTCCTGATATTCACCATAACGTCTGTGAGAAGGAAGGCAGCTTTGAGAAATGAAGGTTCTAGGAATTTGCTGCTGATAATTAATGACCAATTAGTCCGCGACTGCATGGTCTAAAATTAAATTGAGAAACACAACAACGGGTCTTATCAAGGGTAAACTAAACAGGTTATGTGTGAAGCTTAAGGGCTGTAAAGGCCACAGTAAATGCTTAATTGTGCTTTTTGTTAAAGAAAACTAAGCAGTCTCAGGTTACTGTTAAACACTGCAGTCAATCTTGGCTATTTAAAAAATTCATGGCGAGTCACATTCAGGTCTAACGGTTAGATGTAGACACAAAGATTACTGGTCAAACTCTAAAACATGAATGCAAACCTAAAATACCTGCTCTGCAGATTGATCGGGTGTGGTCATAACTCATCCTGATGTTCTTTTCATAAAAAAAAAAACATTTTGTTCCTATTATTAGGTTTTCTGATTCAGAAAAAGTAAAATGTTGTAAAAATATTATAAATATATGTTTTATGAGTAATTGAAATTTGTGGAAAATAATTTTGGGTTAGGTTTTAGAGCCACTTGTGGTCCTAGAGCCAAAGGTTGCAGACCCCTGCAGCAAACCCTTTACATAAAAAAAACTGAAACACGTAGATGGCATGGAAACTCCTTTCCCTGCAGCGGTGACTTACAGGATAACTATTTTCTACTTTATAACTAACCCTGACTAGCGATGGGTACCAAATTCGGTACTTTTTAAGATACCGAGCGAATTCCATAGTACCGACTGAGCACCGATTCACGTCATTTAACGAGAACTTGCCTAGACAGCTGCGCATGCGCAAGAGTGTTACGTCGGTCGCTGCGAGCGAGTTGTAAACAGAGCAGCATGGTAGGAAGAACGCACGCTAACGCTTGGGTCCACTTCACTAAATGTGATGGGTAACTGGGTGATGATGAAACCAGCGACAACGATCTAAGTGAGACATCCTCATCTTAATCTGCTCCGGTAGGTAAATAAAATGTTTAAGAAAACGTTAGCTTGATATGTTAGCTTCCATTTCACTAATTGTGCGTTCGCTTTCTCCTCGAAACTCCGAATTTCCGACTGGATGAACATGAACACGTTCTAAAGTTTGGCTTCACTTTACTAAATGCGACAGGTGATTGGGTGAAGATGAAACCAGCGACAACGATCTAAGTGTGAGGCATCATCGTTTTAATCTGCTCCAGCAGCTAAATAAACTGTTTAAGAAAACGTTAGCTTGATATGTTAGCTTCCATTTCGCTAATTGTGCGTTAGCTTTCTCCTCGGAACTCCAAATTTCCGACTTGAAGAACATGAACACGTTCTAAAGTTTGGCTTCACTTCACTAAATGCGACGGGTGATTGGGTGAAGATGAAACCAGTGACAATGATCTAAGTGTGAGGCATCATTGTTTTAATCTGCTCCAGCAGCTAAATAAACTGTTTAAGATAAGTCTAGTAACTTTGGGGTAGAAACAGGAGGTGTTCACCCAAATTCAGTGTCTGTAAATACCAATAGTGCATTTGTTACTTTCGAGATCAATCCCTGGAATGGCCCCAGACGTCACACCCAGCTGGTTAAAAATGCCGAGTGAAATCTGATGCCTAGCAAGCTGACAGCAGCCTGTGGTCAGCATAATCCTTCGAGAATGAGATTATCTCTGTGTGAAAACAGTGAATTGGGGTGGGAAGGCCACTCCCGTCAATTGTGTGTCCAAGAAAAGACCTGTTGAACCCCTTCCATTAATCTCTATACACAGACACACCTCTGCAAGTAGCATATTAGCTCTCTGCAACCCTGGCTTCAGCATCAGTCGGAACGAAGCAAGCAGAGGATCGGCACTTTTGCATCTGAACTTCAGGGGGAAAATGGAACGTAACACCAAAGTATCTCTTCTGCTTTTGCTGCTTGCAGGCATCTGTAAAGCCCACAATGGAAATGTAAGTGAAAACACTAAATATAGCACTAAGCGATGCATCATGAAATGAAAAAGAAATGATTACTATAAAAGTGTTTATTTCTCTATTTGTTCCACACAGGATCACGATGGAGAAAATGGTAAGTGACTGAATTACTTTACCTGTTAGCATCTCAACAGACTAAACCCATCAAATGGTTTCTCATTACCAGAACAGATCTGTATAACTCTTCCTCTCTCCATTAGAACACCCAGTGAGCGACTCAAATACACAAGAGGACATTTCCACCACTATCCTCAGAATGAACAATGGTGAGCCCCCAGCATAAAAGTGGAAACAACCAAGAAAGCCGTAGACTACCTTTTTTATTGCTATAAACATTGTTAACGGTGTTGAACACTCATTTAATCTCCTAATACATGGACTGTGTGCAGTGGTCTCTAATAGGAATTAATGAGAAAGTAGCTCTAATCTCCTGATATTTGGACATCACTCCTCTGATTGGATGACAGCAACGCTTTGCAACCTTGACGTCTCCACAAATAACACAAACCTGGAGGGGTTCTGCTGTGTGGTGGAGTAGTTAATGCTAATGGTTAGCTTTTAATAATCAAGACTAGGGTTGTCACGGTGTGAAAATGTAACCTCACGGTTATTGTGACCAAAATTATCACGGTTTTCGGTATTGCAGTATTTTTTTAAACGTGTTACATTTTCAGAAAACTAAATAATCCCTGTATATCAGGAAAATATTGTCCTCAGTTTGTGTCAAAATTTTGCCTAAAATGTGTTATTTTGTAATTATGTTGTTTATATGTTTACATTTTTCCCCTTTAGTCTTTAAAATACCAATATTGGGCCATAACTTCTTATTTTTTGACTGTTTGATATCATTTCAGATCAGATGATACTCAATACTCAAGTAGACTTCTAATCAGATACTTTTTTACCCTTACTTGAGTAATAAACCCTATATCAGGAAAATATTGTCCTCGGTTTGTGTCCTTCCAGTGAGCTTTGCAGATGTGGGAAAATGTCATCAGGCAGTAATCATTGTTAAATTCATAATTATTCTCGGAGAGAGACCAACTCTTATCTGTCCCTGGGAGCCCCGTAATGCATAGCGTCATTTCAACATGGGGGTGTCCGCGACACGGTTTATATGCAGGTAGCGGCGCTGCGGCTGCTTTATATAGCGACTCGTTGCGTTCTCCCTCAACCCAAATCCTCGGATCATGCATTTTAGCTAAAATGCTAACGTTAGCTTGTCTTGCGTTGAATGTAGAGTTGTGGGTGATGGTCACACAGATGTGTCATGAGATTTGAAGCGTTGCTGCCTTTCACAGACACTTTTTCTGCACATGCTGCAAACAGGATAGCCGTCTTCTATCAACTGTCCCTCGGCATTCTTCAAATATCCAAAAAATGCCCATGCATCCCACTTTGTCTTCTTTGAGAGATAATAAATGTCCTGAGCACTGCCGTCTCCTCCTTTAGCCATTATTTCAGCTTTAGCTTCAAGAAAGTTTTGGTTGTAAACAACAAAGTGCGCATGTGCTGCCGGCTACTTCAGCAGATGATACGGTGGCTGGTAAGGGTCACCGCGCCTACACCGCAGCCACAGTAATCCACCGAGATAATATTTTTTTTTTAAAACAAAACGGTTATTATTATTGTCAACTTTTTTACCGGGGTTTATCGCGATACCGGTTACCGTGACAACCCTAGTCAAGACATTCTCCGCTGTTTGCTGGACACTAAAACTACAGTAACTCTCCCCGTTGCAAGTCAACATGAACATTGAGTGACAGTGAGACGTAGATCTTTCAGGCATTTCAAATCCTAGAGTTTCACTGTCTATTTTCCATCAGAAGCTAATGCAGAAGATAGGTGTAGGAGACTGTTTCATGTTCAGCCTGCATGAAACACTCAGCGTGACCAATTATAATTAGGAATGATAATAATAATTTAAAAAAATGTTTTTTCAGTGTTCCACACACTTGAAGAACAAATCTGACCTTGTATAAAGCATCATAATTTTATTCTGACAGCATCTATGGATAACCTGTTCGAAGGAGACATATTAATCCCAAAAACAAGAAATGCCTTGAAGTGCTTCAGTAAACAATACAGCTGTTTCTGGAAAAAGTTTCCCAACGGATATGTGGAAGTCCCTTTCACTTTGAGCGATCGTTATGGTGGGTGTCATTATTTTTAATGCATTTTAAATGGGTTACTGTATCTCTACTAAAGTGCTTTCATCTATAAATGTAGCCGAAGATGAGAAGAACGCAATTCGCATCGCCATGCGAGGCATTGAGGCAAGAACCTGCATCCGCTTCGTTGACCATAAAAGAGAGAGGGCGTTTCTGAGCATCCAACCAAAACCTGGGTGAGCCGAAAGGGGGGAGAAAACTGAGAAATTACAACAAACCTTCTCAGCTTTCCTGAGGAAATTTTAAAATCTTATGTTTAAAATGATGGTTTTATAAATATTTTGACTCTCGGTTGTTTTTACGTGAGATTTTACCTCACTTGACCGTGAGAGGTATGGCTGAAATTTGAATCAAAGATTTTGCAGAATCTGCTGAACTTATAGTATCTCTAAAGGAACACTCTCAGCTGCAACGTACAGTACGTCTAACGATTTCCTTTACAATCTGGTGTTTCATAGAGTATTTTGCTAAAACTAGCTTTAGCGTAGTGTTTTGATAATATAGCAGGCTCTCTTACAGCTACAATATTTTGACTGATTCTTTTTAAAGGAAAAAAATTGCAATTGTCTCTTTCTCAGCTGTTTCTCTTTGGTCGGTCGTGTTGGAGAGCAGCAGCTCGTGTCTCTGCAGAGGTTTGGCTGTATAGCAAATGGAATCATCCAACATGAGCTGCTACACTCTCTGGGTTTCTACCACGAACACACTCGAAGCGATCGGGATAACTATGTCCGAATAAACTGGAACAACATTATGGAATGTAAGAATCAAACACCTGTCGCTCATTTAAACAAACAAAGGTCCTAATCCGTCGCTATCTAAATGTTTTGTTCCCAGCTGCTGGTGTTAATTTCCGCAAGATGAATACCGATAATCTTAACACTCCTTATGACTATTCATCTGTGATGCACTATGGAAGGTAAGGATGATTACAAATGCAATTTGAAATTAAATATGCTGAATGGGATGATAATTTATCTTTTGACATAAAAATGCAGAACTGCCTTTGGAATCAGAAGAGCAGAAACCATAACTCCAATCCCAAACCCAAATGTCCCCATCGGCCAAAGGGTGGGCATGTCTGAGATGGACTTTTTCAGAGTCAACACTCTGTACAAGTGCTCAAGGTACCTCGGATAAAAGATTGGGTTTGGAGCGCAATAATTCATACTAATGTGACAGTATGACAATAAAACATTGAATATTTTCTGGGTATTCTGTCTTTTATGGGAGGTGGGTATTCATTTCAATCATTGATTTAAAAAAATGTATATATATATATATATATATATATGTATATATAATTTTAAACTAAGAAAAATGTAATGCTGAAAAATGAGGTTACAGAACTTTTTGTCAATTCTTGAATATCTGATAGGGATGGCAGGTTTTGTATCCATTCTAATAAGATGTAGTATTGTTGAATGTGACTTGACTTACGACAACATCCAATCAATCAATCAATCAATCAATCAATCAATCAATCAATCAATCAATATCAATTGGCCTCTTATCATTTCTACAGACAACATGCTATTTGGATAAAAAAAGTACAAACCAGACCCAAGTGTACTGATTAAGTATGCACCATGCTTCGATCTGCTTGGGGTGAGATCGACACGGATGGATACCCATGTGAAACCATGTCCAAGGGCTTAGTTTGGAGAATTTAAATCTTAGCTTCAGTCAAACTTAGTCCAGTACATTTTCTTTCTCTGCCAATTATTTGTTTGAGACATTTTTATGCTTTAAATGTATTACCAAACGTCAAAATTAAGGTTTATTTAAGTCTTTCATACATTATAGGGTTAAGGTTAGGGTTAATAAGAGTACTGCAAACATGTTGTCCAAACCCCAAATTCTTCACTTACCAACTTGTAATTTTCTGATGTTAGGTTTTTTCAGTTCAGTTTACTGTCTGCAAACCTTTACTTTGAAATGCAAAAAAGCAAAAATTGGGTGAATGAAAAGTTGGGGTTTCACCATCTCTGTGTGTGTGTTTGTTGTGAGAGTGGTTCTTAAACCACTCGTTAAATTCTACAGTTTACCTCAGTCAAATGTACAATACAGTTTGGTCTAATGGTTACTTACAGGTGAAACTCAAAACATTTTGTGTAAAACTCCATTTATTTAAAGCAGGCGTCTTCGACTACATTTATAGAAGATTGTTCCAGCAGACACGTTGAGGGTCAGATGCTTTTGTGAAATAAAGTTCAAGTATTATTGTATCTGAATTTATTAATATTTAACTCATCCACTGCAAATGGCAACTAAAGCCGTCATTTCAAATCCAACCACTCGCTGCCATTGACTTGCATTTTCTAACGGGGCACACCTTGAGAGTAAACATCATGGCTCTAAAGCCGATTTCCATCTGTGTGTGTCACACGTCATGTTGTCAGGAAACAGACAATCCATGTATTAGGAGATCATCTGAGGAGGCTGCTATGCCTAAAGTGAAGCGCTAACTGGAAAAAAGCTTCTGCAGCTCACACTTGGACAATGGACTGAAAAAAAAATGGAAAAGGATAGAAACAAGTGAATTTTTCCGAAGTAAGAAGTGAGTCTACTCTTTCTTTTGATAGTTTTGGTGTTTGGTCATAGAACACAATGTTTAAAAAAAATGCAAAAATGCTGAAAAACGCTGGCAGTCAAGGGCTTTTTGATCAGAAAATGACTGGCAGTGAATGAGTTAATATGGCTTTGATTTCCATCTAAACAGTTTTGAATGTAGTTTTAGTTGTGCTTGGAGAACGTAAACAATTACTGATACTTGGGACATGATTTTTGCTGCTAAAAGTCAAAGTCCCCCAATTAGGGGATGTTAGGGCCCAAAGGGTTGGGAGGTCAGGTGGAAAGGTCTGGCAGGCCAGATGTGGCCCGCAGGCCACCAGTTGATGTTCACTGATCTAAAGACTCAGGAATCCTTTGCAGATGTTCTGGGTTCATTAGCTGATTAGAGTGTAACACTTTGGGCCTAGAATATTGAACCTTTTCACAATATTCTAATTGTCTGAGATTTTGAAATTGGGGTTTTCGTAAACTGTAAGCTATAATCATCCCAATTCTAACAAATAAAGGCTTGAAATATCTGCGTGCATCTACCGTAATATCCGGACTATAGAGCGCACCTGAATATAAGCCGCACCTACTAAGTTTTTAAACAAAAACATGGAACTGTACTTATATAAGCCGCACCGGGCTAAAAGCCGCAGATATCTACCAGATATCTACCAGATATCTACTGAATTGAAAATGTAGTTTAATTGAACGTAACTGAACTGATCAGTGTTAAACAAAACAGAAAAGTTATTGATGTGTTTCTTCATCTTCCTCTTGCGCACTGAAACCACTGAAGTCATCTTCAGTGTCGGAGTTGAACAGCCTCAGAAGAGCTTCGTCACATACCTTTTCTGTGGCGATGTCAGTGTCGCTGTCCGTGTTGCTGTCATCATCCCCGGGTGAAGCTGGCTTGAATGAGTTCTTCCCGCTGCCGTCTCCAGCGCCGAACCATGGATTCATTCATGCCAAGCTTACGTGCGGCAGCGCTGTTTCCCTCCTTTAATGCCAGATCGATGGCCTTCAACTTAAATGCGGCAACATATGAACTCATACGTGTAGTTTCCATGATGAGGGTGTATGGATTTGAAAAGAAATTCTTCGTCGTGCCGGCTGCTTGCATGTGCTAAATTAAAATGAGCACTTTCTTCGATTTGCACTTTTGACTTCCACCTGTTTCACTTTCTGCTAAGGCGCCCCCTAGTGTCAGGTGAAGGAACATCTTCAGTAAAGCCGCACCTCATTATAAGCCGCATGGTTCAAAGCGTGGGAAAAAAGTAGTGAATTATAGTCCGTAAAATCCAGTATCTTTGCATGTCATGAGTCTTTCTCATATATTAGTTTTACTTTTGAAGTTGAATTACTGAAAAAAAAACTACTTTTGCACAATATTCTATGGAGTTTCACCTGCACTCTGATTGCATTAGATCTTGTAATATTTCAAAACTGCTTTAGGGCTTATATAATCTTACTATGATTTATGCTAGCTTGAATTTGGGTATTTTCAGGGTCACCATGCCCATAATCTTAATTTTGAACAAATCTGCATATGATTTTCATAATTTTGCTAAACCTAGGAATAAAACTCTCACTCACAAGATTTTCAATTTTTTTATTTCTTTAGCGCGTTTAGAAAGAAGTCGGAAAACACAGTCTAAAACGAAAAAAGCTTGAATTTAAATAGACTAGAATTTGGTTTCCAGAGATTAAGTAAGGGATTTGCAGTTTTTTGAAGAGGACCTTGTTTAATCAGGGTGAATCAGTGCTGCGGTATACACACTGAGCCAAACTTTGCAGAGCTAAACCTCAGTGGGAAGGCATAGATGTGGTTGGAGATGAAATAAACCTCTCTTCTGCCACTCTCTAACCCTGTGGAGATGTTTTTCCCATCCACTTGGCATCATTCCACCCTCTAGAATGAGTTTTGATGCTTTCTTCCTTAAATCCTTTGCGGTGATTTTCTTCCGCATTCAGTTCAGTCAACTAGAGGAATTATGGGAGTTGGGAAAAATCACCAGGAGAGGTTCAGGGTAACAATGCTACGGAGAAGAAAAAAATTCTAATTAAGCGAATTCCCCTCCCCCCATGATGCATGACTGCACTAACAATCACGACAGCACAGCATATATGTCTCTTGTGTTCTAGCTTAAATGCAGCTACAGAAGCTCTAGCGGCACTCCAGAAAAGTCTGAATAGTTCAGATGGATGGGAGACTTTAATGCTTCATAAAGCAGTTTCAGTTCATATCAATCGTTCCGCTCATGAAATATTTAAAATCTACTTGTTTATTGAAATATTTAAGATGCAGACTCAGTTCTGGCTGCAGGAATCTGCGGGAGATTCTTTTAGTCCATCTATAAATGAAAGTATTTCTGAACAGCTTGATAACAGATGAGCCCCCGGAATCCCCTGGAGTACAAACAGGCCACCACTGGAACACGGTGTGGATACATACATTAAATTAAATAAAAATAACTGAATGTTCAGCAAAACTGGAGTCCAATTTGAATAAACTTCCTGAACTTTGAGGCTGAGAAAAAATGAATATTTCATATTTCTTGTGACGATCTTGCCTCTTGCGGTTTGTTTCTTTGGTAAACTGAAGCCCTTTGGAAATTCAGAGGACGCTGAATGAAATCGAAACCTGTTCCCCGTTACCTAACATTTAGTCCTATTGACCATTTTCTGCATGGTGGCGCAGTGGTTAGCACTGTTGCCTCGCAGTACGAAGGTCGCAGGTTCGAAACTCGGCTGTTGCCTTTCTGCGTGGAGTTGCGTGTTCTCTCCATGCATGCGTGGGTTTCCTCCGGGTACTCCGGTTCCCCCCACAGATCACAACATGCCCTATAGGTTATGAATGGTACGTCGCTTTGGATAAAAGCGTCTGCTAAATAAATAAACATAAACATTTCCCCAACAACCACAAAAAGAAATTCTGCAAGGCTTTTGCAGAAGCTCTTTGACCAAACTTTAAAGGGCAGTGTGTTCATGACCAGCAGGGTCTCAAGTAGGATGTCTGTTCTAATGAGAGCAGGCTGAGCAGAGCTAAATGCGGTCTGATGTGTGATGTCACCAGTAATATGCTGGCAGGCTATAACCGCTGGCTGGCTGAATGGCTTTTACCACCATGTTGTTAACACAGATCAGTGTACCTGCCTCTCTTCAAACACAATAAGCTGCAGCTCGTCTCAGTTCACCACATGAGCTGCCTAATTCAGACTGGAAAGAAAATGTAAATGTTCGCTCTCTGATCCGGGCTGCCGTTCCAGCTAGGCCTGTACCTGAGAGGGCGCTTCAGTTTGCTTGTTGAGTGTTTTTAATTTAGCTTTTTTCTACACAGAGCCAACAATTTAAATACCAACAACCTTCCAGAAAACATATTTCACTCTTTGCAATGCTACTTCTAAAAATATGCCATGATACGAACATTTAAAGGGGCATTATGGAAGTTTGAGAGCCAAAACATATATAGACATAATACATTTCTTCTTCATACATTCTCCTGCAATGCCCTGGTCCTGTAGAATGAGCCCTGGCATTTTTACTGTGATTGCCTGTTTTTCTGTAAAATCACAGAAAAAGAGAGATGCTCGGGTCGAGCAGGCTGCTTCATGCGCGTTCACGCTCAGGCATAGCCCGTAGCATTTG